GCTTGGGCCTCAACCCGCACGGCTGCATGAACCACGTTGCTGCGGTAGTTGTGCAGAAATAGAGAAGGGACCGGGTCGGATGACGGGGCGGCACGCTCGGCCGGTTCGGCTGGAACCTTCGAGCGCGTGGCGCTGGTGTCTTGTCCGGAAGAAGGGGGAGAGTGGCCCGAGACCACCGGAGAAGCCGGCTGAGGAGCCGGGTCAGGGGTTTGAAGAGAAAGGTTCAAACCGGGAAAAGCCGAAAACAGCGGTTCTGTACCTAGAGGGACCGCCGCTGGGAGTTGCACGGGGAAGTCCGGAAGGGGTTCGGAAAGGTCCCTCGGATTCCCCGATCCTGTTCAGTCCTCTGCAGCGGGACCGCGGCGTTACTTGGATCCGTTCTCTGCTCATGGAGCATTGGCGCGAATCTTCCTCCGGCCCGCCCCCCGAAGCCTTCCGCTTCATCGGTGCTCATAGTGCTAAGGTGACCTTGCTTAGTTGGGCCCGGCAACTGAACTTTCCATCCGACCTCCGTCGTATTCAAGGACATCATCGGTTGTCCGGCGCGGATGCCTCGGTCGCTCTCTATAGCCGAGACGACATTGGCCCCATGGTCCATCTCCAGCGGGCCCTGGTCTTCCACATTCGTTCTGGCTTTCGTCCGATGCAGCCCTTGGCGCGCGGTCTGGCCGGAAGGAAGTCGATGACTCTGTTGGGAAAGGCAGCGCGGGAGCGCTGAAGCGATTGCTTCAGAACTGTGAGCCACCGGAAAGACCAGGAGCCGGATGGAGTGCCGGTGAGACCGGAAGGGAGAATGCCCCAAGGCATCCCGGAACGGGTGACCTTGGTTCGCATAGCAATGCCGGAGATGACGGACCCATCGGAGTGCAGGTGGATACGGTCCGGAGGGCATGCAAAGCAGGTCGCTCCACCGGAGCGATCCCCACACGGCACACAGCAAGGAGCCGATAAGGAGAATGTCAGCGCAGGAGGTGTCCGGGTGCAAAACGCGGCGCTCCAACCAGACGATAAACGAAAGGCTGAAAGGAAGGGCTTCGCGTCGTTCCTGCGGATGAGTGGCTCGAGAAAAGGAGCGGCACAGAGGAGCCTGAATCTGAGCATGCAGGACCGGGAGGCCGGCATGACGAGAAAACCAGGACAGTGCTCGCAATTGGTTGGTGGCAAGACCTGAGGGCTAGCCTGGGCCAACAACCAATCCGGGAGCACCCCCGGAGCAGGCAGGCACGGAGAGCAGGAGTAGACCACGCACCAAGCAGCCCAACCGGACCAAACCGCAAAGTACCTGCTGAGCGTGCTGACCGAAAAGGAGACGATGACACGGGCGATAAGCGCCTCGGGCTGCGAAGAAGCCCGTGTTGACGTGAACAGCGCAGAGTTTTCACCGAACTCATTTATAAGTTCGAGCCACGTGTCACGGAGCTTCTGCATAGAAGCCTCAGCCAGGCTCCGCATGGACGAGGGAGCCTCAGAAGGAAGGGGAGCCGGAAGGGCAGAGGGACCCGAGGGGGAGAAGGGCGTGACTCAACCGGATTAGCAGGCAAGTCCGAAAGGGAGGAAATATTGCCGACTGGCCGACCCGGAGCAAGGAAGCGCCTACCTGGATTGACGGGATGCCCAGATTACGTGTGAAACGCAAATCAGGGGTGATGAAAGGTCGCAAGGACGACCACTGGTCCGGAGTCAGGGCGCACATGACCGGAGGAAGTCTACGCTGATCTCGGTAAAGTGGGGTCAGGGTAGGCCGGAGAGAGCGAAAGAGGCCCGAGACCCACAAGAGCTTACCGGTAATGCGCTCCAAGTCTGTGAGAGAGCAAGAGCGGCATTGTAAGAGGAAGTCAATGAGGGCAAGAATCCGGACGGCTTTGGACGATTCCAAGCGGACCAGAAGGAGAGAGAAATCAAATTCCCAGCCAATCCAGACCACCCGGGGAGACAGGCTGGCCTTATGCCAGCTCAACGGGACCCGGAGGATCAGAAGGAACACAACTAGTAAGCCGGACCAAAGTGGTGCACTGACATCCTCAAGCACAGCCAATAGGTCATCTACATAGATGAAGCCGGAATGGGACACGTACCAGAGACGGTGGGACAGCCGGACCAAGAGACCGGCCATCCTGGACCAGTAAAAGCTGCTGGCGCGGGCACCGAAATTGAGGCACTTAGATAAGTACAGAGTACCCCGATGCCGGAAGCATAACAGGCCCCAGTCGCATTTACGGATGCGGATTCGCCGGTGAGCCTTAGCCACGTCCAGAATAAGGGCGCATAAGCGTTCTCGGGCAGAGAAAACCGGGGAGCACAGACGGACATCCATCAAAGTGGGGTTGGGACACCGGTTAGGGAGCTGGGTGTGAGAAGTAACACCGGAGACAGAGCTATCTACCACCAAGCGAGGGGGTCGATGGTCGGAGACCACCACTCCCAGTTTCCCAACCGCCGTTTTGATAAACCGGGACCGGAGCTCTGCGTCCCCTCCCGGCACAACCTCAATCCAACCGGACTCGATTTCCATGGCCAGAAGGTCGTCCACTATGTCCGGGTGCGACAATGCAGACTGCCATGACGACTCGCAATGCTGCAGATCGACCGGTGCGTCCGAGTGAGAGTCCGGAGGAGGAAGGACCGGACAAGGAGGCATGGGGAAGTCGACACCCATCAATGGAACCCCTGATTGCAAAAGGCGGGCGTAGTCCGCATCCGCGTCACCTAAAATGAGGGTGAGGCAGTGGAGAAGGCGCAGGCGAAAAGGCTGGCCTTCATCCACGAGCAGGAGGGCTTCCCAAACAGCATCTTCTGTAATGTTGAGAAAGAGACGGAGGTCCGATAAGAAAGGGGCCAAATCCTCGTCTGACAGAGGAGGCTCCTTGGATGCTGAGTTGAGACGACCGATGAGAGAGGTGGGACCCCGGGAAGAAGGAGCCGGTTGGACCAACGAGACCGGAGACTTTTGAAAGTGTCCGGACCGGAAGGTCGATGCCAGAAGGCAGAGCTGGACGTGCCCGCACCATCTTCCACCCTTCTCTTGGGAGGATTCCAGGACAGCTTGGGGGGAAGAAGAGAGCGCCATTGACGCCAGGGCACGATGACACCAGCAGAGGCCAGCGCTGGTGCTAGCAAAGCGGACAACTTAACTTAGCAGAGAGGGAGTCCGGATACTGCGCGGTGAGGCGGGTCGCAAAGGACCCGTCAGACAAGCGCCTGCCAGCAATGGCCGGATGTGAGCCGGACGCGTGTGAACAGACCGAAGCAGATGTCGTCCGAGTTGGAGCAAAACAGCCAGCGCTTAGAGACGTTGAGCCCGTGGGCGCAGGCTGCAACGGAAGCGGCGAAGGGAGCAACGGACTTCTGCCGGGATACGACTTCGGGGTCCAGCCACAACAAACTGGAAACCGGATTCTCCATGACCACAATCCCCCGGCGGCCGAAACCAACGCAAGGAGTTCCCGAGTACGCCGGTGGAGGAGCGAAGAGACTGCTAATTCCCTGGCTCCTGTCGTGGATAAACCGGGGACACCGGTGGGGAATTCCGGAGTGCGAACCGGAGGGGGCCCGCCAGGCCGAAGCCTAGCGCGTGAAAAGGACGCGCAGGGCGGAGCGGCACAAGCGACCCCGACCAGCCCAGAGGCACATAGTTCTTTGAGGTCTGAAAAGACCTCATCGCTGGCGACATCTGAGGCCGGGGGGACCAGTATGTCGACAGGAGAAAATCTATTCGCCTTGATCCGTGACATGGCCTTGGACAGGGGAGCCGCGTGTCCGGAGAACAAGTCCAGGAAGAACCGGGGAGGAGGCAGAGCGCCTGCAGGCCGGTCTGAGGCAGGAGGGGCCGAAGCCGAGAGCCGTTCAGAGACCGGCCCAGAGGAAGCTTGAGAAGATGGTGCCGGGACCGAGACCGCAGCGGGCAGAGAGGCAGAGCCTGCAACGCCTGAAGGCCGTGTCACAGCCGAGGAGACCGGAAGTAGGGCGGGCGAAGACCCCGCCCGCACGGGTGCAGCCAGCGGAGCTGACGAAGGAGCCACGGCAGCGGGAGACGCGTGGCCTAGTCAATGACCTGCCGCCAAGTGCTCGACAGCGCTGTGCTCCTGACCGCAGGGGTTACCGGCGGCGTCCGGGACCGGACAGCGGTGACAGGAGGGAGCAAAGCGGCAGTTCTTGTTTTTGCACTTCCCGAGCCCGAACTTCTTGCAAAGCTCGTGGCCGTCGATGTGCGTAGCCCAGGACGGATCCCACTTGTCCGCGACGGTCTTCTTCTTGGGACTGGGGCGACCTTTGGGGTCGGCCTTGGCTTTACCCTTGGGAGCTCTCTTAGGGGCCGGCGAAGAAGGAGAGTCACCCGTCATCTTGCGTTTCCTGCCGGCGTCCGGGGCGCCGGGCAGGCGAGGCTGCAGCGTGGGCGGAGGACGGGCCGGAGCCGGGGGGCGAGGCCGCGGTTGCAAGGCGGACGAGATATCTTGCCGGCAAAAGGCAATCTCGTTAAGGGAGTCCGACAGAGACCAGCCGTGATCTCGCATCAAGGCCCAAACGGACTCCCACACGGACGGGTCGGCGGCGAGGATCTCAGCCAAGGACGGGGCCCGAAGTGTGGAGTCCAGAGGCTGAGCCAAGGCAAAGGACAGAAAACGGTCATTGAACCGCTTGATGACCAGCAGATGAACGACCTCCAACATGGCTGGCGCGGTCGCTAGCATGGTACAGGCGCGGCGGACCGTGGATTCCACCGGATGGGAATTATATGAATCTATGAATGGAAATCGACGGACCGGAAGGCTCCTCGTCCACTTCCAGAAGGGTCCGGAGGAGTTGGCGGTCCGACCGAGGACGGCGGGATTCCTGCCAAGCCGCCGCATCCTGTTCGGATGTACGGAAACGCCAGGCGATCCATGGGGAGGCCTTGGAATCACTCTGCTGCTTCAGGGCAGACAAGAACTCCACCGAGGGTGTGGTATCACGGTTGAGGAGCTCCCCGGGGTATGATTTCTGAAACTGGGACCGGAGTTTCATTACTGCTTCCGGAGACAGTTTGGATGAGACCGGGCCGGAAAAGAGGCCGGAGGAAGAAGCCGGGGCAAGATGACCAGGCGACAGAGAACAGCGGCCTCCGGGCTGGTCATCAGGGAGTGGTCCTCAGCCACGCCGAGGACCGACACCAGAAACTGGTCAATGGGAGCATCCGGGGGGATTGCGAAAGCAATCTGCCCCAGAGTGAGAAAGTTGGCCGCCTTGAGACGAGCTGCCACCGAAGGTGGAGCGCTCCAGTCCGCAAGGAGCCGAGGGACCTCCGAAGCATCATCCAGGCGGGCGGAAGCCTTGGCGAGGTCAGGGCCCGCAGGACAAAAGAGCAGGGGAGGGAGAAAAGCCAATACAGCTGCGGAGAGACGTAACCCAAGGCAGACCGAGCAGGCAAACGAGCAAAACGCAGTTTTACTCGGAGCCGGCGGAGGTCAGACCGCTGTGTCACGAAATGTGCGCAGCACATCGATGACAGCTGTCAGGGCCGTACGGAAGGCCAACAAGAAGGCAGAACGAGAGCGCTGCATGAAGGTATATTCATTCATGAGCGCGTTGGAGCGTTCAATGAGGTTCCCAACCGAAGCCCGGAAGTGGCGGGTAACGTTCTGATCCTCCGTGATTTCCCTGCGAGCGGCATCCAGACCGGACTCCACATCCCTGACTCGTTGTTCCAAAGTGGCCAGGCGTCGTAGCAAGTCCAGGTCCAGACGTCCTGCCTGCTCGGGCGGAACGGAGGCGGGAGAGAAGTCTTCGATCGGGTCAGCCATGTAGACACGACACCAGGGGGAGAAGGGAACCGAAACGGCTGCGGGAAGCAAGCAAGGCTAAGACCAAGCAAGAAAAACGATGCCGGATTGAACCACCGGGCGACTTTTACTCGCAAAGTCCTCTGGAGCCAAAACTAGGGTACCGTGGAAAAACGGATGAGACATGCGGTACGGAGACACAGAGTAGTGCCCGGTGGGACGGAGTCGCACAAAGAGTCCGGAGCCAATTGGCGGGTCTGGGAGCCGCAGGCGGGTCGAACCCAAACGGTGCCAGACCCGGAAGGATCAGAGGCCTCCAGGCTGCGCGCGGCGTGGGCCTCGACCCGCACGGCTGCATGGCGAACGGCGCTAGTGTCCTGACCGGAAGACGGGGGAGAGTGGCCCGAAACCACCGGAGAGGCCGGCTGAGGAACCGGGTCAGTAGCAGCAGGGGTCTGAAGAGAGAGGTTCAAACCGGGAAAGGCCGGGAACAGCGGTTCTGTGCCCAGAGGGACAGCCGCCGGGAGCTGTACAGGGAAATCCGGAAGGGGCTCGGCAAGACCGCGCGCCAAGGGCTGCATCGGACGAAACCCGGAACGGATGTGGAACGCCAGGGCCCGCTGGAGGTAGACCATAGCGCCGATATCGTCTCTGCTATAGAGAGCTACCGACGCGTCCGCGCCGGACAAACGGTGATGCCCTTGAATGCGACGAAGGTCAGATGGAAAATTCAGTTGCCGGGCCCAACTGAGCAAGGTCACCTTGGCACTATGTGCGCCGATGAAACGGAACGCTTCAGGAGGCGGGCCGGAGGCAGATTCACGCCAATGTTCCATGAGAAGAGACCGGATCCAAGTGACACCGCGGTCCCGCTGCAGAGGACTGAACAGGACCGGGGCATCAGAGGGACCGGAAAGGAGGGCAGGAAGGAAGTCGATGACTCTGTTGGGAAAGGCGGCGCGGGAACGCTGGAGCGATTGCTTCAGAACCGCAAGCCACCGCAAGGACCAAGAGCCTGAAGGAGTGCCGGTAAGACCGGAAGGGAGAATGCCCCACGGCATCCCGGAACGAGTGACTTTGGCTCGCATAGCAATACCGGAGATAACGGACCCGTCGGAGTGCAGATGAATACGGTCCGGAGGGCACCAGAGCAGATCGCTCCACCGGAGTGATCCCCACACGGCGCATAGCAAGGAGCCGATAAGGAGGATGTCCGCGCAGGAAGTGTCCGGGTGCAAAACGCGGCGCTCCAACCAGACGATAAAGGAAAGGCTAAACGGAAGGGCTTCGCGTCGTTCTTGCGGATGAGTAGCTCGAGAAAAGGATCGGCAAAGAGGAGCCTGGATCTAAGCGTGCAGGACCGGGAGGCCGGCGTGACGAGCAAACCAGGAGAGTGCTCGCAACTGGTTGGTGGCAAGACCTTGAGGGCTAGCTTGGGCCAGCAGCCAATCCGGAAGCACCCCCGGAGCAGGCAAGCACGGCGAGCAGGAGTACACCACGCACCAAGCAGCCCAACCGGACCAGACCGCGAAGTACCTGCTGAGTGTGCTGACCGAAAAGGAAACGATGACACGGGCGATCAGAGCCTCGGGATGTGAAGAAGCCCGGGTCGACGTAAACAACGCAGAGTTTTCACCAAACTCATTGATGAGGTCTAACCACGTGTCACGAAGCTTTTGCATAGAAGCCGCGGCGAGACTCCGCATAGATGAGGGGGCTTCAGAAGGAAGGGGTGTGGTGGCCACCACCCCCGGGACCCGGAAGACAGGGGGAAGAGAGGCGGGGACGGCCGGGAGAGGTTGGTATACCGGGACGTGCGGCGCCAGCCGAGCAACAGGATCCGGAGAGTCAAAGGGAGGGGGAGGCCGCGGAGGCCGAGGGACCGAGGAGAGAGCGAAAAGCTCAGGGTCCAAACCCGCATCGGAAGATGACGCCGGACCGGAAAGTGGAGACAGGGGCGACCTGGAGCGGCCACGCGAAGGCCGAGGATCCGGAGAAAGCACGCCAGCAGGCACCAAGGTGGCAGCAGAAGACCGGACCGGAGAAGCAGGAGCGAACTCCCGCGGCGGGGCAGCAGAAGCGCGGAAGCGGCGAACCACACAAACCCTCCTGCCTGGAAGAGGTAGAACCGGGTCCGTGTCCGAGTCGTCGGCGGAGCAAGGTAGTCGACGAAGTACCTGGCCAAGACAGGGCATACAGGAGCAGCAGGGAAGCACAAGAAAACAACGAGAAGAAGTGGAGCAAAGAGTCGCGCTGCAACTTTTGCACCAAAGCATGCAGATGCAAGCCCGGACGCGGTCGCAGAACCGCACCGGATGCATGCTAGAAGGCCGTGGTTCCCGTAGGTAAAACGTGACCAGAGATATAGAACGCTCAATGGCAAAAGTTTTTACCTACGGGAGACCTCGTGGTGAAGCGGGGAAACGCTCTAGGCGAACCCAGCCACGAAAATCAAGGCGAAGAGAAAGGTCGTCCGTGAGACCGGTATTCAAAACCGAATAGCCTGTAACGGACAACCGGTACAGGCGGGTCCGGGACTGACTAACCGGATTCGGCAGCCAGCGTCCGGACCCATCACCGGAGAGAAGAAAGTCGACTTCCCAGGAGACGGCGTCCAGATCAAGTGAATCCGGATCGCTGACCGAAGAGCGGTCTGAGAGAGAGTCGTCCGGATTAAGGCGAACCGGGACCGGATCCGTGACCGGAGAAGACCCCGAAGCATCAGAGTCGGGGCCGTCCGGAGCATCTAGTCACGGCTCCCGGGGCCTCCGGATCAGGCAGTTCCAGCAGCAATGGTTGGAATGGCGGGAGTGTTCGCCCAAGTGGACCGGCCGGAAGCAAAGCCCGTAACAGCTACGGCTTCGCCACGGAGCACCGGACGTGGCCGCGGAGCACGGGTACAAAACCCACGGACCGGGAGGTGGGGCCGGAGGGTCCGGAATATGTACCCACCAGGGTAGCTGCGCCCTCTCGACAATAAAGAGGTCTGCATACGGCCAGTGCTCCGGCCGGATGATCTCGTGCTGCTGCCCTTCTATGTCAATGCCCAGCCGGGACAGCTGCCAGCCTTCCGAGCATGTCCACGGAGGCTGGGCACGGGCAGCGGAGGTGTCCCCGCCCCCCACCCACTCAGGAAGGGGGGGCACAGTCTGGGCCGGAGGCGGATCAGCCGGGGAGGTGACACACTATGCTGGAGTTGTCCCAGCGTGGAAGCATTGAGCTGCTTTAAGGCAGTCTCAAAGTCGTCCCGGTTCGCTGACTCAAGGACGTCCAGAATCTCCCGGACGGAAGGTCCGGGGTTGTTGGCCGGCGGGCCGGGCGGTCCAGCCGGACCGGCTAGGTCAAGGAAGCGTAGCGCAACGAATTGAAAGCCCAAGGCTAAAGATCTAAGCCGAAAAGGCAGCGGGGCAGAAACGGGCATGCGCGCAAGCTGGACAGAGCAACTGTACCCAGAGCAGGCAAGCGGTTCTGCAAACACTGCAAAGAGACATGAAAAGAACATGATACAGCAGCAGGGCACAGGGTCAAGGTCATGAGGACACGGAGTGACCAGAGACCTGGCCAGGCCTGTAACTAAGTTCTTTCTGAGCAGGACTAAGGGCCGGGCCGAGAAAGGTCCAGATCTGAGTCCTGACCAAAACCAGAATGGAAGGAGGAACCGGTCGCAGAGCGGTCCTCATCCATAAGCTGGTCGAGGTGATCCTCCATGGTGAGAAAGCCTGGCGGGACCAGGCAAACACCGGAGAGGAGAAGGCGAGGCGGAGACCAGCCTAGGGTGCGAACCGACAGGACAGAGCCAAGGGCAGACCTGCCGGGGGCAGGGTCGCCAAAAGAAACCCAGACGCTGTCTGAGCGCGATGCCAGTACCGCTCGGAGAGCAGAACGAGCAAAAACCTGACCGGGCAGCGGAACTCAGTGAAAGAAAGGATCTCGGCCTGAAAGGCGAGATCATAAAGCCATGGCGCAGGACGGCTACGGAACCGCGGGGCCAAAGAGCAAGCAACAGAAGGTGCCTAAGACCAAGTAGAAGCAAACCCAAGAAAGTTTTAACCCGGAAACCCAGCCGTTCTGAGCTAATGCTGCAGGGCCGGTAGATGTTCCGTTGCGTCTCTACCAAACACATACGATCATGCTCCATCTTCTCTTAAAACAGCTTGACAAGCATAAAGTGTGCTAGCAACTTGTTGCCCACTGGCGACGCTTACGGCCGCACAAAGAGACTTTAACGTCGGAAAGAAAACTGACAGGGACGGTCCCCCACAAAAGCGCCTTTGCGGAGTTGCAACAAATGTAGGCAGTACACCGAGGTGTGTCTTATGCTTCGATCTTCCTTCCTCTCTCTTTCTCTTCCTTCCTCTCCGTCTCTACCTCCACCAACTTCCTTTCTGCTCGCTTTCTTTCTCTTCTGCTCCACGACACGACACTATCTAAACTCTTCTTCTGCGTAAAATCCTCTGATATTGTTGCTGCTGGTTGTGCTGCTCGCACTGCTGCTGCTGCTGCTGCTGGCATCCGGCATCCACTTGATTGAGAACCGTGGTAACCGACAAACTTAGAATTCTTTTGAGAAATATTTTGATTCTTCTCGTCAAACTTGTTGCTTAAATGCATCTTAGCACAAAAGATCTTAAGACACGATCTGGCATAACCAGCAAAATATAGCCTGCAAGACATCTAGCTTGCGTGGCTGTAGAGATGGTTCCCGCAAACACTTGAAAGGGCTTTTCGGACTTGTAAAATCGTTTTTAGAAGAGGTTTTTGCGTAGAACAATGATAAGGCCATCTTTGTGGAGAAATCTGCAAAGTTCCTTTTACCAGACTTTTGCCGACCTGGTGACACACACTGTCATTAAAACCTGTCAAGAGGTTTTTAGAAGCTTCAAATTTGGGCTCACGAAGCAGCCTGGACATTGTTTTTTCACACTCTTTACAATGCCAGAAATGGTCAAACAAGGGAAAAGATTCTTACAAAGAACAGTGGCGTGTGCCACAGATCAGTAGTGTCTCTCTCTTATATCCATGTTTCAAAACTGCGCCATGTTACGGTGTAGTCTCTGGCTGTTTCGTTCATAGGGTAAGTCCTTCTTCCCGACTCCGGCCGGAACTCGCTCCGAAACGTGGCCTAGGAGGCCCAGGGCTGCATTTTAGAACGCCCGAAAGTGCGCGCAAAGTCCA